TCGGTTGTTCGCCGTATATTTGGAATGTCCAGAGCGCAACACAAGCGGCATTGCCAACCCAAACTCGTGTTTTCACGTGCTTTGGATGCAACTCGAGAGAACGAAAGCGAATTATTGTTGAATATTTTTGAAAGCATGTTGCAGTTCAGCAACTATAACTTTTGAACTTAGACAAGACCTTCAACCAGCAATGGATCCTTCCAAATTATATTCGATTGCACTTCGTCTGGATATTTTCTGTATCAAAGGAACACTTACTTGTTTCTGGGTAGTTAGCTCATTCGTCAGGGTTGAGAGGACGGGTGCAGAGATATGATAGGGCAGAGCGGTTGTAAGGTCGGCGAATCTCAACTGGGCTAAAGGCCGATCACGACTGCAGCATAGATGCTTGGGAGTCGGTGTTCACTCGAACGGGCACAGGCACTGTCTATTTAATTTATGTGTAGCCGCATCTTTGAAAGGGCTCGTTTTCCCCAAGTCCGTTCGACACACACATATTCGCTCCTGCAAAGCCGCGCGAAAGCTCTGCCGTCAATCCACAGAAGCCGCGTTTAACTGGAAAAGACGGCGCCAAGAGGAGACAAGGGGTAGCGGGCGCCTTTTCTGAAATATGTCCCGCCACCCTAAGTTGAAACGGCATTGTATACAAATAAATGCCTACGGCGTCGGCTTGAGGACCCCGTGTAAGCAGCCTCCAGCCTTTAGAGTGCTCGTACCGTTTATCTTTCTTTTATTAGCTTCCCGCCACGAGAAGTCGTACCGCAGGCAGTATGAAGCCCATTAGAGGAAACATCTCCCCCTTCTAGCACTCGTCGGCTTCTTTCTGTATTCCGCGCTGCGGCGCTGATCCTGAGTGAGGGATGGAGGTGAGGACGTAAGTGGGCTTATGTTTAAGCCAAGGTCGTGGGGAAGTCCGGAGCATCTTCAGGAGAACCTCAGACCCCAGACTACACTGTACCCAGAGCATTTGCTTCCTTTCTCAGTTGAGAAGAAAAACAATTGGTCACCTGGTTGTACAAGCTGCATCCCCCCTCCCCCCCTGGAACGTCT